TTTTTTTTTTTTTTTTTGGTACCGGGGATCGAACTCGGGTCCTTGAGCTTGCGCAGCAGGCGGCGAAACCACTGAGCTAAATTCCCGGCCAATCCTAGTCAGTTTTGATGTTAAATACTCAGGTCCAATGTATCACTGCCTCTTTAAGTAAAAGAAAGAAAATACCACAAACTTTAACATACTTGCTTTTCACACCAGTTTACACGGCTGCCTTGCTTTTACCCAAAAGTGAGCGGTTAGAGTTCTCACTCCCTCACTTCCTGTACGGAGAGCGCTGCAGAGAACGCCAGCTCAAGGGCCTGTGCGATTCTCAGCTCTAGAGTCACTTGGGCACCAGGCCGGTCGGCCACTACTGCGCAGGCGTGAGGACCAGAGCGGTCTGTGGGCGGTGGGCCGTGTTTTCCCTGGAAACCGAGCGGAGGCTGCCGGAAGCCGAAGGGCTGCTGGTTGCGGCAGCGAAGAGAGGCTGGGGGCGGGGCCGGAGGAGGAAGGTGGACGCAACGAGGAAGAGGACTGGGATAAGCATCCCGCTATGGAGCCGGCGGACGCGGGGGCGGCTGGCGGCTGGCAGGGTGCGCCAGGGCTTCGAGGCATTCTCCTCTGGTGTGAATGAGAAGGTTGGGGCTGGTAGTCAGCGGCCGTTGGGACGTGACCGTCCCTCCGCCCCTGCTGGATTCCTTTCGTTTTCTAGGCCTTTTTCTTCTAGGTGTTCGCTACTAGTATCTTGGGAGGGATGGCTTCACCCAGTAAGAGTACGGCCGGCGCTTCAGCCCTGCATTTGCGAGTGGGGATGCATGTGTACCTCTCTCTTCATCCCCTTGGGAGGGGGCGGGAATCCGAGAAGCAGCCCGAGGACCCTGTGGCTCACTTCCTAGACAGTTTGAGACCTGGTCTTGGCGAGGTGGGAAGGCATAGCTCGGAACATCGCGCGTGTGCTGTGGTTGCTTCTGTGGTGACCCATTTCCAGCCTCTCCTCGTACCAACTTTGTACTGGCAAAATCCGGGGTTGGAAGGCCAAGGCACTGGTTCCCATTACTTGATTTTTTTTTTTGAATAATTTTGGATTTATGGAAAACTTGTGGCAGATATAAATTTTCCTAATGTTAATATCTTGCATCGTTTTGGTGCAAGAAATAAACGTTGATGTGCAAGGCTGTATTCAGATTTTGCTAGACTTTCTACTAATGTTTCTGTTTTCTTCCAGGATCCAAACTAATACAACATTTCATTTAGTTGGACCTATTTTTAATCATAGTTAAGAGCAGGATTTACCTCTCACACCTCCACTCATGGCACAAGCTAGGTTTTAAAATTTTATTTCTTGGTGCTGGGACTTGAACCTAGGACCTCCAACAAGCTAAGCTTGTGCTCTTCCAGCTGAACTATGCCCCCAGTCCCTAGATTTTAAAATCTCAGAATACTCTAGTTATTCAGTCTTTCAATTTAGTTAATATTTATTAATAGTCTGTTATAGTCCAAGTTCTTTTCTAGGCCCTGGGGATTTAGCACTAAAACAGTCTACTTTAATGTGGGAGCTAAGTATATTTCACAGGTTGATTTTTGGTATTTTCTATTTCGGATTTTTTTTGTTGTTTTAATGTCGGGACAGGCCACTGCGGATAATTTTCAAATTGGTTGGGAATCAACATTGTTTCAACTTTCCTGCCTCTTCTGATTTACTCTTAAAAGTGTAAACTTCTCAGTGGTAGTATTCACTTTTACATCGTCCATTACTAATCAAGACTTTTCCCCCCTCAAATTACTATTCTAAGAAAAATACAGTGTGCAAAGAGATGCTAAGTAAACAGGATTGAAGACCCTACTACAGTTGTAGTTTCATTGTTTTAAATGTTTAGATGCTTTGACATAAGAATCCAGAGAAAAAGTTGAAACCACTGTGCATTCCTTCCCAGATAAAATGTTGTAAAAAACTGTCAGCTGCTCGGAGATGATAAGGTGCCTGAATATGTTTGTATCTTTTTGTATAATGAATGTGCAGCAGTTCCTGATCAAGCAGTGCCAACACGAAACATTTCATCCAGAGTTATAGTACATGTGGATCTAGATTGCTTTTATGCACAAGTAGAAATGATCTCAAATCCAGAATTAAAGAACAAACCTTTAGGTAATTCTTCAAATTGATATTTTTGTTGTATAATGATAGAATTAGCTACTTACTGTATTCTGATTTATTAAGCATATTAAAGATTTTGGAAGCTGTTCTTGAGGTTACATAGGCAATATTTGCTTCATGATCAAGTATAAACTTTGTAAGAGTCAAAAAATGATGAATCAGACTAGTACTGTATAGCTAACTGAATTAATAGCAAAATATGTCTTCTGTGTTAAACATCTTAGTTCTCTAGGCAGATTTCTCTTTCAGAGTTTGAAATTTTACAAACCTAGTATGTCAGAAACAACCTTGTTATTTTTATGCATTTTAGTGGAAGTTTTCACCTATTTTCTCCTTTTTAAACTTAATTCTTGACTTGTAATGTCTTAACAGAATAGTTGGATTTTAAATGGAACTTTACTGACAGCAAACTTTCCATATCAACACAAATTTTTAAATAAAAGAAATTTTACATTGAGGATTTACACATTGATATTTTTCATATTTTAACATTTTTTATTATATCTTACATCGGAATATAAAGATTTCTTTCATGCATGCTAGAAGGATATTTTAGTATGAGCGTAAAGAACAATTTTGGGTTTCTTTCTGCTACATAGCTGTGCGTTTTCAGCTTCTTTGACTTTCTGTAGAACAAAGGAGTGACTAGTTTTTGGCATGCCAAGGTGAAGCTAGCTAGCATCTTTAAACTTTTCTAAGGATATCAAGGATTTTTGATTAAAAACCTATTTTGTTTTCCTTCTAAGACATTTCCATTTAGCAGCAATGTAGCACAAGATGCTCTGGAGATAATGCTTATTGAAAGATATTCTGTGATTAAGAAGTACAAATATATGATTATCATGAAGTGAGGGATGTGAGTGCTGAGAGTTTCTTGGAGAAAACATAAGTAGTTTTTCATTTACACTGAACAAATATATGACCAGCTCAGGCTGTGATATACAGTAGGGAGTCCTTATAGTATAATTCTGTATTAAAAGACTTTTTGTGAAATATTTTACCAGTTACATTTTTATATATTTCACTGATGATAAAACTGTTACCTTTGACCCAGTGATTATATTTTTGGGTATAATCTGATATAAAAAAGTTAATGTGGGCCAAGCCTTTAGCACAGTGGTGCCACCACGTGCCTTGAAAGCGCGATGTCCCAAGTTCTATACTTGGTGCCAAAAAACACACACAAGTTAATGTTTCTTTGTCTTGTTTATAATATTAAAAATTTAAAAACAATTCCCTATGATGAACCTTAGTATATATCTAAAATGTACCAATAAAATTAAAATTAAAAGCAAGCCAGGTGAGGTGGTACATGTCTGTAATCCCAGTACCCAGGAGCTGAGGCAGGACAATTGCCATGAGTTTGAGGCCAGCCTGGGCAAGATCATCTTGGACTAGATAGAAAGTCTCTGTCACAGAACAACAAAACACAAAAATTTTAAAACAAATTGTAATGAGAATGGACATAACCGTTTATGTGTTTGCATGTTACATATTTTTAGATGAATATGTTTATAGTGGCATAAAGTCAGTTTGTTTTAAAAAAGCAAATTAATTTTAGATATCTTAAGGTGCTAATAAATTAAAATTTTTGTGCAGTCTTGGGGTGATCATAGTATAATCATTTCTGATAGGGAAACCTCCCTGTTCAGTAATTAGGGTATTACTGGGGGGAGATGCCTAACAATTGCTGTAAGTTGGCGCTTGTAGCAGAACATTGCTTTTATTTACTGGCAATTTACTCAGAAGATAAATGGATTTTTTAAAGCAGCGACCAGTTTTTAATTATAGTCAGTTGTTTTCATCTGCTATGCATGACAATATAAATTAAGGGATTTTGTATTGTCTGGAAAAAATCCTAGAATGATTTTTTTCTGTTTTAGCACTGAAAATTCCGTATAAAATATTGATCTGTGGTAATTTCTGTTAAATTTGGACTCACCTGTTGTATAAGAATAATAGACCCACATTCTAATATGTAATTCCTACTACTATTATTCAATGTTGTTTGATTTCATAACTTCCTTCTTCCCCAAGTAGACAAACAACCAGAGATTAAAAGTGGGATATGGAAATCTGGGTGCAGTGGTGCATGCTTGTAATCCCAGCCCTGAGGGAGAGTAAGGCAGAAAGATTGCAAGTTGCATCCCACCTGGGCAATGTAGTAGAGACTATCTCAAAAAATAAAAATGGGCTGGCACTGTGGCTCAGTAGGACAGTACATCTGGGTTCCATCTCTAGTACCAGAGCGGGGGAAAAAAGGTAGGATGGATATGAGAAAATAATATTTTGCTACCTTATAATTCATGTAGTTAGAAGATAGCTCAAAAACCTGATGTTTTTTCTTTGGAGAGCTTTGATGAACAGAGGCTATGTTTAACCAAGACATCTTTTTATTCTTATTAAAACACATTGCATTTCAACTTATGCACCTAGGGAATAGAATTAGTGAATATTTAAAAATGTTTCTTCGATCCTCATAGAATATTTATATTTTTATAGGTGTTCAACAGAAGTCTTTCGTGATTACTTGCAATTATGAAGCCAGAAAACTTGGAGTTAAGAAATGTATGAAAGTGAAAGATGCGAAAGAAAAGTGTCCACAGTTGGTGTTAGTTAATGGAGAAGACTTGACTCGTTATAGAGAGATGTCCTATAAGGTTACAGGTACAGATTATAGGCAATATGTACTTTAGCATTAATTTTTATACAGGATCCCTGTATACTGTGCACTACAGAAATCATAAATGTTATGAATCATGTTCCTTTTTCCTAAAAGCTTTTTATTTGGGGTCCTGTCTACTTTAAAATTATATAAGGAAGTGACTTTCTGTCTTATGAATAATGTTGACAAGAAAATGTATAGTTGGAAGTAATTTGAATTTTACCATGACTAGTGTTCATATAAATAGCAGAAAAGCCAGGTGTGGTGGCGTACACCTGTAATCCCTGCACTGAGGAGGCTGAGGCAGGAGGGATTGCCACCAGTTCAAGGTCATCCTGGGCTACATCATGAGTTCAAGGCCAGCCTCAACTTATCTCAAAATATAAATAAATAACAAAAAATGTAAATCAAAGTTTCAAAGTGAGAAAATGGGAAGATACATGGTAAAGGAAGACAAATATTTA